AGGAAATAAGGATGTCAGCCATCCTTAGACTGGAATTGGTTTACCACAAGGCTAATAAGCAGTCAGGACGAACTAAACCTCATTTTAGACCGTGACTAGTCGCTATTTTTGGCTCAGGGTTGTTGTTACCCTTGAGCTAAAACACCTGGACTAAAAAATTAACCTCGTGCCACGCGTGTAGTTGTACTGAACAGGGTGTGTAGGGGTTTAACAAAGCATAGGTTCACAATAAATGCAATAATAGTTGGTGTGAGGATGTGGAGAGAAAGAAGTGCTGCTTGTAATTCTACAGTTTACAAGGTGACATGCCTGGAACGTAAAGTTAAAAACAACAATAACAACAAAACAAAACATGATTAATGGAGAACGCCAGATGAAGATACATCCGGTCCAGTTGACTGCATGGAAAGAAAAAAAATTGGAAAAAGTCGAGCATAAATTCATGAATCGTCAGTAGTGCATTCCTACAACAAACTACTTTCCGTTCTTGTGGAATCAGACCTGATATATAAATCAGAGATGTTGCTGCTGGACTTTGAAGGCATTAGGACTGTGGCCATTCACTGAAAGCTGTCAGCGTGTCGTTTTATTTTACTTTCTGTTAGTTGTGTGTGTCGCTTGTCCAGAAACCTTTAACACATTCAGGATTGTATTTCCATTGTTTTTTATTTGCTTCCATCTGCTCACCCTTGTCTTAATACAAAATGCCTTTAAGAGCACGACCTTTATTAAGTCCTTGTACTGCCAAAGACGCTCGTACAGGGTTCATAGTGTGGATATCTATCAGAACAGAATACCGTATGTATACGTCTCTCCCGCTCTCAGATTTACTGCTCCAGCTCCAGCTTCTTCTTGGACTCGCCTGACGTCCGGAGCGCTTCGGTGGAAAGTCAGGAGTTCTTTGCTGGGATAAAGGTATAAAACAGTTCCCTGAAATGTTTTGTCTTGATGTGTAGCATGTGTGTGATCAGAACTGTGGTTTTTGTTGGTTTTTAACTGTAATATCAGACAAAAGTGCAAAATGTTTTCTTGTTTTTATTGTTCTGTAGTCTGTCATCAAATAAATTTTTTATTTTTTTTTAAACTGCAAAGTTATACATGACTTTTGTTTTGGGAGGTTTTCTGTCCATGTTAATAAAAAAAAGAACTGTCATTATTTTTTACCGACTCACATCACTGCAGGTTTTTTCTTCTTACTGGTCTTCAGTCTTAAGCCAATGTTGCTTTGATTGTCACATGAGACAAACCCCCAAGTATCTCCCCAAAACAATCCATAAAACTGTATTTAATTTAGCTTTTGACCAATTAATCGTTTGACATTTCTCTCTCAAGAGCTTTTCCTGCTTAAGTTTAACGCTACCAGAGAAACGTGTTTGCCTCAAGTGTTCCTTTCTGAATGTGAATGACGAGTCTTCTCTTTAAAATCTTCTGTTCAGCTACGACCAGAGGTGAACAGCGTGTCTGAGGATGGCAGGCTGTATGAGCTGGTGGTTGAGAGCACGCTTCCCATCCCGTGTCCAAAGGGCTCTTCCTCCACCTCAGAGCAGTGCACTCTGTCCCTGCAGCTCAGCACAAGTAGTCAAGGTGAGGACTCATGGCAGCATAACGACATGTTAACCAGTCACTAGTCTGTCAGTAGTTTAGCATGTGACTGCTAAATACAGCATTCGATGCCGTGCAAAGTCACATCTGAGGTGCTCTCAGGGTCCCATGTGACAAATCGACACCCGTACGAATGGAACATGTAGACCAGGGGTGTCGAACTCCGGTCCTCGAGGGCCGCAATCCTGCAAGTTTTAGATGTTTCCCTTCTTCCAACACACCTGATTCAAATGATCAGGATCGTTATCAGGCTTCTGCAGAACTTGATGCTGAGCTGATCATTTGAATCAGGTGTGTTGGAAGAAGGGAAACATCTAAAACTTGCAGGATTGCGGCCCTCGAGGACCGGAGTTCGACACCCCTGATGTAGACGGCTTAGAAATAAAGAGAAGGTTTGCTTTTAAATTGTAGGTTAACATTAGATGGCTGTAACACGTTAAAACAGTAATATAAGAAAAAATGTAGAGGATAATATCCTGTGCAGGCTGTTCAAATATTTATATATACATAAAATAATAATTTAGCCCATAGAGAAGTCTCCACCTCTAAAGATCTGATGTAAATATGCAGCAGTAAATGAAAGGAGGCTGGAAAGTGACGTTACTTCTCTGTCACCGAACCAGCTCAAGCACTAGTCAGCTGTTTATGTCTTACCTTAATGTTTTTCTTTTCTGTCCTTTTTGGTGTTTTATCATCATTCAAATGAACCTAAATCGTCGTGTTGCAGACGAGGCTTTGCTGGATGCCGACCTGTCTCTCTCCTCCTGTGCGGTGGACCTGTCCCACGGGCCCTGCAGGAGCGGTGTCTGCAGCCGGGCTCTGGTCCACTTCACCCCCGTCACCGACTTTGTCAAAGATGGCAACAGAACAACGCAGATCTCTGTTAAACCTATTGTCTCACAGAACTTTCTCTGGAATGGATACTCGCCAGAACCTGCTCAGGTAAACACATCAGACTCTTATATATCAAATAGTTCTTTAGCTATATTTTTAACCATCTTTTTAAATTATTTTTTCTGATTGTTTTCGTCTTTTACAAACTGGTTTTATGATGTCAGACCTCCGGATTGTCATTTTTATTATTATTTTTTTGATCAACTGCTCGTTCTTGTGCTGTAATCAAGCATCCTCAGTGTTGTATTTCAGGAAGGAATAAAACTGATCTCTCGTTTCCAGGTGACGGTTCAGGATGTTCCCTCGGCCTACTGCTACTCCTTCACTGATCCGCACATGATCACATTTGATGGCAGGTACTTTAGTGTCTTGTTCAGTTAACCGGGAGACAAACTTTAGACGTATTACACTGTATTAAAAATCACAAATTTCATTACATGTGGAGGTTTTAAGCACTGTTGCCTCGCAGCAAGAAGGTTGCCGGTTCGCATCCCGGTGGGGGCACCGGAATCTTTCTGCGTGGAGTTTGCATGTTCTCCCCGTGCAGCGTGGGTTCTCTCCGGGTTCTCCGGCTTCCTCCCACAGTCCAGAAACATGCTGAGGTTAATTGGTGATTGTAAATTGTCCGTAGGTGTGAATGTGAGTGTGCTTGGTTGTCTGTCTCTAAGTGTAGCCCTGTGATAGACTGGTTACCTGTCCAGGTGAACCTGCCTTCACCCTGAGTCAGCTGGGATAGACTCCAGCGACCCTAGTAAGGATTAAGCGGTGTAGAGATGATGGATGGATGGATGGATGGAGGTTTTAAGTTGTCCACAGTGAATAATATATTTCTCTTTTTGCACTGTAGTAAAAATATCTCATGATCTCCAGCAGGAAGTGGCAGTAAAGTATAAATATATGTTCTTTGTTTACTTACAGGTACTATGAGAACTACCAAATAGGCACCTTTGTCCTCTATAAGAGCAGCTTCTGGCCGTTCGAGGTCCACGTCCGTCAGTGGGAGTGCGGCAGCGTGGTGCACGCCGCCTCGTGCGCGTGCGGTTTTGTGGCGAGGGACGGCGGCGACGTCATCGCTTTCGACATGTGCAACGGGGAAATGGGTGAAACCAAGCCTCACCTGTCCGTGAAGAACAGAGACCTGAGCAAGAGCGGGATTCGGATCACCGAGTCCTACCAGGGTCGCAAAGTCACTGTGAGTGAGGAGCAGCCGGCGATATATCAAAAATCTGTTCACAGGTTCCAATACACATGTCAGATGTGTTTGATTTGCATTTTATTATCTGTGTTTTGATAAAGGTGTAGAAATCTGGATGCCAAGAGTGTCTCAGTTTTTTGTCTGCGTGACACTGATGTGAATCTTTGACCCGTTCCAGATGACCTTCTCATCCGGAGCGTTTGTTCGTGCAGACGTGTCTGACTGGGGCATGAGTCTGACGCTGAGGGCCCCCAGTTCAGACCGGGGTCACACTGAGGGTCTGTGTGGGACCTACGATGGGCAGTCAGACAACGACTTCCACTCAGAAGGGGGCGCCAAACTGGAGCATCTGCAGGCTTTTATTTCTGAATGGAGGTCAGCATTCTGTACAGTAACTGATCGATCCGTTGTGGTTTCACTGACCAGCGGCATGCGTCAATTTGGGAGTTTTTCTCTTTTTAATTTGACTCACAGCAACTTGTAAACTAGCTACGAAGGAAAAGGAAATTCATTCTTTATCCAGTCTTCTACATTCAGATTGTTGTGCTCGCTATAGGCTGCCAAGGAGCACAACTCTAGTCATATTTTAATGAATGAGAAATCTGGGATGTAGCCAAGAATTCAGAGCTCCTGAACTAAACAAGATTTTGGTTTTTTTAGTGGTCGACGGGGAGCCAACCGTCTTCTCCAAAGTTTAATTTACAAATGGCTACGACTGCTTAGTGTCTATCAAATATGAGATAGATATCGTAGATCTAATTAAATTTTTGTAGATTTGTTTAGGACATTTTGCTGCTAATCATGTAGACCCCGAGACAAAAGCTAACAGGGGTCCAGGTAATTTCTGTTAAGGCCCTCTTGTCAGATTATGGCAGCAGCTGAGACCATTTAGTCAAAATCTCTTTGGTTGAAATGTTTTCCTCCCTCTCTCAGACTCCCTTCAGGCAACAGCCTATTTGACACTGTGCCGCCTGATCTGAATCCGCTGAATCCCCGCAAGTACTGTACCTGTCAGGTGGAGCCCCGCGTCTCATCTCCCAGAGCCCGATCTCAGCAAAGTGCCTCCTCCGACTCCACCTGCTCTAATGATGGTAATCTGCATCTCCTCGCTGCCATCCCCACTCTGGATGTCACAGCTGAGTACATTGGCTCTGTGGAGCTGCTCAAAGGAAATGAAAGACGTCCTCTGCCTCCGGGTCACTCCAGCCAAGACGGAGGTAGTCGCACACAGCCACATGATAGAAGCTCTCCTTCAAGAGCCTCCAGAAACAGAGCTTCTACGTCAGCGCATCGACAGCAGCAAAGAGGCAGGCGGCAGACACATCGCTATGTTTCTAACTCCCCTCACCAGAGTCTCAGCCAGTCTGATCTGGAGGGCTTCACCTACTTTTTTCCAGAGGACCACGAACCAGCAGTTCAGCCAGATTCTTCACTAATGTGGCCCACGCCTTCTGGCCTGACGAAGCAGCAGGCCCAGGCCCAGTGCCAGCAGGCTGTGGCGAACTCAAGCATAGCTACAGGTTGCAGACGCCTGCTTGGAGAGACGATAGTTAGCCGCGCAGTGGCTATGTGCGTTACCGACCTGCAGCTAAAGGACGAGCAGTCTTGGCTGAATGCGACGTTACCGCTGCTGGAGAACGAGTGTGAGAGGAGGCTGGTGGAGGAGAGGAAGCGAGCAGAGGAGCACCAGGACGTTCTGGCCATCCTCAAGTGTCCGAATCTGTGCAACGGGAACGGCCAGTGCTCCGAGTGGGGTTGTGTTTGCTTCCCAGGATTTGGGTCGTACGACTGCAGTGTGCTGTCTGGTAAAACACTGAACATATATCCACATAGACACACCACCTATCAGAGAGAAGAAGGCTTTGGGGATGTCAGCGGCCTTTTGGTTTGTTTGGCAGCTCGTAGCGTTTATAGTCGTGTTACACTGACCCACACCACAACACCTGTTAAGGTATCTCTGTGTTTCCAGCCCAGTTGTAACACAGTTAGCAGTGACTTAAACACATCCGTCTTCCACTTGATGACAGACTTATGTACGTCAGACACATGGTTTGTGATCTGGGCCACATTCCCAGGTGTAACAGTCCATTCTCTCCTGCGCTTTTTGTTGATGTCATGAAGACCAGATTCCAGAGATCACCGAGTTGGAGAAGGAGGGTCTGTGTGACGTTCGTCAGGGAGACTGTTCCACCATCCGGGTCCACGGCGAGGGCTTCAAGGACTCCTATGAGCTCAAGTGTGAGTTTGTTAGAGAAAAGGTACTTTGTGTTTCCTTTTCCCTTATTTTTTGTGCATGCCTTCCCTTTACTGGCACAATACATTTAGGAGTTGTCAGTTTTTTCCTTCAGTGTTTGGCATCTGAGCGGCTCTGCCCAGAAAACATTCGATCAGATGGGTTCCTTTTACAAGCAAAGTGGCAAAATGAAGTAACTCAGAAACATGCAGACTTTAATATTCTGCATTAATACTGAAAGTCAAACTTGTTTTTTTTTTTCCGTGGTGTTACGATCCAGCCTCTAGGGTCAGCTGGAGGTAACAAGAAAACAGAAATGGTTCCGGCAAAGCAATTTATAGCTCAGTAGCGTAAATGAACATAACAGAACGGTGACAATACAAAGGAAGCCGGTGGATGGTGCTACAAATCAAAAGAACCAAGCGAAGGCTAACAGAGTAGCGAAAGCTAGCAAACAAAACTAAACTCTTTAGCCAAACTTTAAATCTAACAGCAACATCCACACATAACAAAAGAAACTAAAACAAACTAACGCCTCAAAACACAGAATATGAAAACACAAGACACGAGTAACTTGTTCACGAAGTTGCGCAGCTGCTAACGGGAGTCAGTCTTCACTAAGACTCACTCAAAACTCTCACACCGAGTTAGCAGCTGCCAACAGAAGTTACATCAACACAAAGCGAGAGGCACCAGGACGGACTGTTCACTCTAAATACCAGCCAGGCCCGACTTATAGCCAGGTGTGGTGATTGCTGAGGTGGAGGAGTGGTGGTGGTCCAATCAGATGTGACGAGAGGTGGGAAGAACAAGGCTGAGAGTAGGTCGGGAGCTCCAGGGCCATCATCACTGATGTCTGGCAGGTGTGGTTCTGGAGCCCAAACACCACGGGCCGTAACACATGGTAATCATGGACCTTCAGAACCCGTGGATGATCTCATCTGAACGCTATTAGATATTCTCTGTGTGTGTGAGAAAGTTCTGATGGTTTGCTCTCATCTCATTTGTGTCCAGTGTTTACTCTCCTTTTAGCTTTTTTTTTTTCTTCTAAATGTTTTATTATGTTTACCAGTTATTTGCTAGCATTGTTTATGAACTGTCAGCGGCGTATAGTTGGCTTTAAAATGAAAGCTGATGCCTGCTGCGGCTGAATATTAGGTTGATTCATTGTTAATTAAAAAAAACTCTGAACTCTGACATGCAGCTTATTTTATCTTAATTTAACATTCAGTGCTGTTGGATCAATCAGCAATGACAAAATTAATGAGAAATTACAGGTAAAATGCCTGTTTTTCAATGCACTGTTGAAACCAGAGTTATAAGAGGTTGTTATGTGCAGGTACACTTATTCTTTGTGCACTTAAACCGAGCTACCATCCGTATTTCTGTTGTTTTATCCCTTTTCCTCCTTGCCTTGCAACGTGCCAGATTTCATCCTCTTTTCCGTCTTGTTCTGATCGCCTATGCTTCCCTCTCTTTTTACCTCCTACATTTTACGGCTTCCTTTCCTCTGTGTCTCTTATCAAGTTTGTGGATGGCGACTGGGTTCTGGACGAGCCTCGGTTTGTCCTGGCCACGTTTCTGGACGCGACGGCTCTGGAGTGCCAGCTCCCCCTGGAGGACAGCCGGGCTCCTGCAGGAGTAGACCTGGAAACGGTGACGAGCAGCCCGCTGGCCCGCTGGCAGATCAAAGTTAGTCATGTCTCCAACCATTTCTGCAAAGCAAACCTGGGAATCCACCATAAAATTATCAAACCTTTGAGTTCATCCTCCCTGCTTCATGCTACTCTCCTTCTCTTTCTCTCACACTCACATGTCTCATCGTCAGATTCCTTCCAAACTAACAATAAATATGCATCTCAGCCCATGATAAATCTGTGCTGGAGTAGCTGTAAACAGACATATGTTCAAGGTTTACTATTTTTTTTTGTTTGCTGGTTGCGTTTGTGAAAAGAGTCCACAGAGTGCAGCTGGAGGTTTTCTTCTGTTTCAACTTGGCTGAGGAAGAAAATGGACTCAGCAGTGTAAAACAGATTAGCTGGATTACGTTACTGCCAAGTGCATTAAACAATGCGAAGCCTGGGAATACGTTTTCACAGTAGTTCGATTTAGTAAACATGAGAAAATGTTTCTCTGAGGAGAGCTTTGCGAGACCTCACAGTGAAATCACACACGAGAGAGATTTTGTTTGTTGTGAATGTTGGCGTGGATGAGCCACTGTGTGCCAACACAGTTGACCCTGTTAAGTGTGTCTATTTAATGCCTTTTCCCAGTGATCCCCAGTAATCAAGCTTCTGCTGATGGCAGGTTTCCAATGATGGCTATAGCTACAGCAACGCCAAGATCCTCACTCTGTATGATGGAGCCTGTCAGATCTGCAGCCTCAACGCCGAAGTCCTCTGCACCCTGAGGGTAAGACAACCGTCTAATGAGTTCACACGTTTATCAGAAAGCAGTAGCCAATCATACATTTTGCTCTCGGCCTGTTGCCTTCATCATCTCCAGCTGCAGCCTCGATTCTAATGTTCTCAAGGTTTAGGAGCTCTGTTGGCGGCTTTGTTAAGTCAGTTAAGTTACAATAAACAATTACAATCTTTTAGTGAAGCTCAGGAGGTGCCCTGGGACATAAAAAGTGAAATTTAAAACACCCTTAATGGCTGAGTGTTGATTGTTTTTTACATTTTTGAGCGTGTGTGCCACTGCGGTCGACACACTTGGTGTTTGTGATGGCGTTGCTGCTCTCGTTTAAACAGTTGGAAGAAAACGATAATCATCTGCTGGTTGCACTGAGGTTGCCTTTGCCTCTGCAGTCTGCCTCTAACATGACTTTGTTTTTAACACTTTCCTTTTCTATTCCCGCTGGCTATTGTGCCCTCCCACAGCACCCTGGGGCCCCAAATGTTTGCCGTCGTCAGCAGATGCTGCTGACCACAACCCACAGCTTCCACTGTGGTCACACTTACGCTCCAGTCTTCAGCCTTATAGAAATGAGAGTGTCAAACAGCATGTTGAGGAAATCAACGAGCCTGGAAACCAGTTAGACGGGTGTAGCTGTTTCGGTACTTTTTAAAAGCATTTTGTGTTTGTGTGGCTCTCCCATCACCAAAATGTTTACTGGCTGGAGCAACGATAGCATCCAACACAGAGGGAGACATGCAGACACATGTAGAAATAACATGTGTAGGTGTTTTGGTATACTCGTATATATGCTTGTGTATATATATGAACACACATTTTTGAATAGCCCACCATGTTTTCTGCAGGGGAGTGAACATTCATGACACGAATGGAAAATGTTTTCATAGAAGCACTGGTCTGCTTGTAATTTAATGTATCAGGAACACAGGAAACAGTTTGTTGTCCTCAAACTAAATCTGTGGTTTATTCTGTTGGGTTGCTTCTACAAAAGCAGTTCTCTTGCTGATATGCTGCACATGCTTCCAACAGCCCTACGTACCTCACGGACACAGGTACAGGTTTTGGGTATGGAAGCCTCCAAACACAATGCTTTATGTTGTGAAAGGCAGCTCTTTTCAAACAGAAATGAACTTATATTTGGTTATTTATTGTCTTTTTTTTTCCCCCAGGAGAAAACCTGCAACATCGACAGCCTGTGTTACGGCGAGGGCGAGTCCAATCCCAGCAGCCCTTGCCTCACATGCCGTCCAGACTCGTCCAAACACACGTGGTCCATCGCTGAAAGTATGTTCACAAAATCATCAGCTCTGGCTTGTCTCACGGCTCATTCATGCACTCTTTTGGTTACAGCGGGGTTTCAGTGTGCCCGCAAAATAAACTTTACTGACTATGAGCAGCAGTGTAACCCATCCTGATCTACAGTACCACAATGTGAGATTAAAAAAAAGTTCCCAGTGTGCCACTTCCTTCGTAGAGCTGAGGTTGGATTGTTGTCAGTGAGTTTTGTGGCTTGTAGTCACTCGGGGCAGCTTTGTCAGCAGCTCTCTGCTGATTGCAGCCAATTGAAGTTGCTTCTGTCCTCTGGCGTGGATGTAAGGACGGCTTACCTCATTGTTACACTCTCTGACCAACTTTACTTCTTCAGCCTGAAGTAGGTCAAACTCTGCTTCAGTCAGAGGAAATGACCAGATAACCAGACAGGAGTTAAAGGGTGGTGATGGTAGGAGAAGCTATAGGTTATCGATTAGGCTCATCTGTTGTCATTCATTAATATGTTAAATGAAAGCAGCAAGAAACAAAAACTGTTATAAAAAATTATTGAAATATATGTAGAATATTCTTTCCCATATATTTTTCCCAGAAGAGCAGAAAACCCTATCCTAGACATGCTGTAGGTTGGTCTCTCTTTACACCTTGTAATCTGGGATGTTTCCTTGTTGTCAGTCTTTATGCTAAGCTAAGCTAACCATCTTCTCCTGTAGGCCAAGAAGTGCATTTACCAAACTGTTACTCAAAACTGCACTTTAAAGTATGAACAGTGTTTTTGCAGCTTCTTTGCAACGCACTACCTTCTCATGCCCACTTGTTCATTCAGTCTGCCGCTCAGCCTACATCTAATCGCTTATGGGTTTATTCAGTCTAAGGCTCAGTCCCTCCTTTTGTATTTCCCGTCAGACAATAAGCCTCCACTGCTCCAGTCGCTGCCGTTTAGTCTCCGGTCCTTCCAGGGGGAGAATTTCATCTACCAGCTACAAGCTCGGGACCCCGAGGGCTCGCCGGTTCTTTTCACGCTGGCATCAGGTCCCGAGGGTGCATCTCTGTCTCCAGCTGGCCTGTTGATGTGGAAGGCCACCGCTGAACCGTCCGACACGCATGCTTTCCAGTTTACTGTGAGCGACGACTGCAACGCTGAGACGAGAGCCTCTGTGGAGGTAAGGCTGGGTTCATCACGGGAAAAATACTGCAGGGTAAAAACGTGTTAACAAAAAAAAAATGTCAAGAGGTAGTTTGTGGATGAGTCACAAAAAGATGATTATTGCTTTATGCTTTCTGATGGAGTTGTAAGTATAGATCTACATCGATGCCGTGTCGATGTTACAGGTCAATGATTCCAACAAACAGAGTAAAAACATCAAAATTAAATAATCTGTTGAATATTTTAGATGTTTGACAGTTTTTAAACATGCAACTGAGGGCAGGTGAAATGCTGAAGCTTGGAATTTATGTGGAACCCAATCTGGTACGTGAACATTTTAACAAGATGGAGACGAAGCTCTGAGTGCATGGAGACACTTGCCTTTGCCTTTGCAGCCAGTAGCAGAACATCTGATGTGCTTCGCTTGTGGCTGAGACATTTTAAAGTTAGCAGAAGCATCCACGGAAAGTACACAAACGTGGTGGGCTGAGAGGCAGCTGCTCATTCTGAATTGATCGCCTCAGAAGCAGCTGGCGATGAGAGTGCTGGGCGATGCAAACTGTTAGCTGGACGATTATGTGGTTTCTCTGTGGCTGGATATTCTCAAAGCTTTTATTTTACTCCTAAAAGTTTCTAAAAACCTACTTAAAAAAGGATTCTCACACTATAGGATCTTTAAAACACCAGTGCTGTTCCTGCTCCGACAGGCCAAAAGTGTTGCCGGCTGCTTCCTGCCACTAGAGGGGGATAAGGGTACATAGCTTAATGCTCAATGCAGCTCTCTGTTGTAATTCCACAATATGTTCCACAGCAAGAAGTGACAACAGTAGATATACAGTGTCAGTATACGAACTTAATCTCCTTGATTTTTTCTTTTTATTTGGATGTGGTTTGACATCGTTGTCTCGCAGTGCAATGCACACAGGAAAAGGAGGAGGTGTTCACATCTGCACAAAATTCAAAGTAATGCAAATTTTGCTGAGACAGATCCATGGATTTTCCAAAGTTTTCATTACACTTAGTGTGCAATGATTGTCCAAATCCACCTACTGTATTTCTGTTTCTTTTGTTTGCTTCTAT